CAGGGTAGATCCATAAATGATGGATCATCTACCCGAGTATGAGGGGTGAGTGGCCTATCGGCTATCCGTGGATACCCGTTGCCGTGGCCCTGGCTCTTTTTGGATCCTTTTGGCACACGCCTCTTTCGAAGCATCAATAATGAATTTGCAGCTTGGTGGGCTACGCCAAGCTCGCTGAATTCGATCCGCGCACTTTAGCGCGGGACTATAAGCGTGGTGCCTTTTCTCATCCCAACTGCAGGAGCTGATGACGCTACGCACAATTGCTGGTGTCGTCAGTAGCTGATGTTCGCGTTTCTTCTTCACTGGATTGGCCTCACAAGAGCTAGACACTGTTGCCGAGATTGTGAAACACCTAAGTTTCAGCTAGGACACTTTTTCATCTGTGTCCCACTATCAAAAATGAGTTGACTCCGATTGTGCGATTCCAAACATCGATCCCTAAAATCTCCTTGAACTAATCTTATGAAATATCTATGTTTTTCAGTCAAAGAATTGGATGCAAGTTCCCCGACTTTTTCTATATGTGTTTGGTCTGTCTCAATCCCCGGAGACTGCACCATACCACGGACAAAGACCCTCGACTCGACTCCAAACCCTACATATATGTGAAAAAACATGCCACCGTATGTCCCCTTCTCAATGGTATCTGTCCCAGATAGACCCTTCCTCTGACGAGCAAGACCCCAAATGCAAATCTCTGATTCAACCAGGGCAACAAATAAAACACAAAGACCGTGCAGTGGCACCTAGCACATTCCCTGTCTTCGTCGACCAAGCTCGTCCACTTTGTTGATGCGTTTCCTTCCACAAAGAGCAAAGTGACGCGAGGAAGGGGACACCAGAGAACCAGTCAGGAGGGGAAAACCAGTTGGCCGATCCAAAGCCATCCATGAGCATTTGGCCACTTGCACTCAGGACAAATGTTCACAGAAACATTGTGAGGTTCAGCAGGATTGGCACAATGTAACAATGGCCCCAGGGATAGCCCAGCCATGCAGTCAAAAATGGTTCAAGATGGTTCAAGAACTTGGCATACAGAAAAGTGTAATGGGGAAATTCAATGGTTGACCTTCCAGCAGGCTCTTCTTCTTTTGGACAACCTCAAGGGCCCCTCCACTTGGTTCTCCAAGTGTCGAATTCAGATGCTGGGCTCCACGACCTCCCGGCTGTCCTTGAAGAATTGCTCTGACATCAGCGCCGCACCGCAGGCATTCGAGGCAAAGAAGATCCAGGGCCCCGCAAAGGGAATCCTCGGCAAGACTGCCCCAGCACTCTTTTATTTGTTATAAGGTACTGGGGGCTCCAGTTCGTTAGCTAAGTTGGTTTATAACTACAGATTAAGTATGGTTGTGATATATATATATATAGTTAGTGGGCGTTACAAAACAACTTTCAACTTGGGGGCAACACCTTGCAGGCGAAGTTGTGACCATCTATTGAGATCATGGAGCACCACAGCTGCTTGGAAATGGGGGTGCAATCACTCGGAATTCGGCTGAAATCATAAGTCGTAGGCAAACCCCGGATCTGGGTTTATATACAACGACAATAATTCATATGTATTATACAGTCAATAAGCCCCATCTATATCTGTTCGGGTACCAACTGATGCTATCCCGCTATCCCATTCAAAAGTGGGTTATCATGACCTAAAAAGAAAGGAACCCGTTTCTAAGGTGACCCATCTGGTTGTGGCGGATTTTCCAGTTGACGCCCTTATGTCAAAATACAAATCCTCATTCTCGTGGTCAGTGCAAACGCGGTAGTGGCACGACTAAAGCACCAACAATTTCTTGTACATAAATGATCTTTGAAACCAGCCTAGTACTGAAACATGCTTGGTTTTGTAGATTTGGGGCCCAAACACCCAAGAACTGTCGGGTTAGGCACATGGCTCTTCGGTAGGAAGCCAAGAAACAGCTCAAGTGCCATGGCTACTGCTCCGAAACCTCCACATTCTTCACAGAAAACTCAGCATGTTGTACCATGTTCATCCATTTCGTGGAATCATGATCCTCTACTGAAATGGAGGAAGAACCATCCACATCTCAGCTGGATGACCTTGGAATTGGATTTGGCTAGTGCTCACCTAAGGTACCCTAAGTCATAGTTGGTTGGCGGATGTTGATTTCCCCAGTCATATGGACATTTCATGTGTTTTGAATGGTTTTAAGATGGATATGGGTCAATACCTATAGATACATTTTTAGTGGGATGAACATCCATTTACCAGCTATTTTGATGTTCACCAGGGGGATAGGGTTTTGACCCATCCCCAGATGTTTTAACCTATATTGATCATGCAACTGGATACCTGGTGCTGTTGGATGCTACAGTGCTACAGCTTCACCCCGTGTTCGGCACCTCCAAAGGTGCAACAACGTTGTTTCACAAAGCCGAACTGCTCGCCGCAGCCACGCAGCTCGCGGGCACTGGCCGTGGTGGAATTTTCAAACGTGGTGATGAAAAAATGAAAAACCACCATGGGGAATAGAGGTTTAAAATGGTCTAAACTAATAGACTACACGAACCACTACTGAGACTGGGATGAACGTACGAATTGCGAACATATGGAGAATATGGAGACATGAAACAGCCAGTTTGACCTGAGAATATGTTCTTTTCAAACATCCTGAAGATATGAACAGACGGAAGAAAAGACGTGGCTAGGAGGGCGTGGACCCTCGTGGAATCCAAACGTCCAAACTATCAGGCCACGCAATCTCTTCGCTTTGTGGGATGCGCAACACTGACTCGAAAGAAATCTACGACAATCTTTGAGGGCATTTTCTAACAATGGTCAAAGGAATCTGAGGGCATTGGTTTCTAGTACATTTTCTACCACCTTTTCTAAGATATTTTCACCCATCCTGGCACCGATAGTAGGACTGTCCCCCCATCCCAGGATTTTCCCTCCTCACTGCAATTGGATTGCTATTGATCATTGAAAAAGAAAGTTATCTTCGACTTACTGGTGCTTAGTAGGCAATGGGGGAACGATCTATAATAACATATATTAACTATTAACAATCATCCCATTCCCTCATTCCCTACTAATAAGCATCAGCTGTCAAAGACTCCTTCAAATTCCTTTTCGATGGAGGTTTCATGGTTTCTTCTCAGTCATAGGGCTACCCCCAGTTCTCATCCGATTATTTTAATAGGATGTTCCATTAGAAAGAAACCATCCAGCTATTGGGGTATCCTCATTTTCTTCAGACATGTTCCATAAAATACCCCCAGTTCTCATCCATTTGGTTCAGGGATTTTCTATGAAATACCAGTTCTCATCCATGCTCTTCAGATATTTTCCATGAACTAGTCCATGTTCTTCAGAGATTTTCCATATGAAATAAACATCAATATCATCAATGGGGGTTTCCTAAAATGGGGGTACCCCAGTTCTCATCCATTTATAGAACAGACCACCCAGCTACAAGGTGGTGCCCCCTAGTTATGTTTGTTGATTTATAATCCCATTAACTGTAGATATATCTACCATAAGTCCTAGTGAAATTAGAGTTATGTTCACCAACTGAACGCTATCTTGGGGGCACCACCCAGCTATTGGGGATCCCCCATGACTATGGCACCAAACCCATCCAGATCATCGTGGAACGTCGTGGAACGTCATCCCCGCTGAGGTCGTGGCAAGACCAGGAACTCCTGCTGCAGCTCCCAGGCGTAGATCCAACCGTTCAGCAGGACCCAGGCGATCTGAATTGTCAACCCCACGTGGGTGGTTTATGGTGGCTTAGATGGGTTATGATGGGTTTATGATGATGAAATGACTTGAAATAACTATAATGTATTGATGCAATGTCATAAACCACCCACAATATGGATTCATATTATGGTTTCTAGATGGATATATAAATTTTGAAAATATAGCACCGATCAAAATTTGGGATGGTTCATGACATTGCTTTACTAACATTCGAGAAACAACTTGATGACTTGATGTGGTCTATCAGGAATGTAGAATTTGCCTGAGGCAAAATGGTTTCAGCTCTTGCTGCCCTGTTTATCGATGGGTGTTGGTATCTGGTGGGATTTCGGGTGGCATCAAGTGGTGGATGTGCAAATGCGGAGAAAATTTATCGTTGAATGAATAAAACCCAATTCTCAGCCAAAATAGCATCTCAAAACTAGTTGGTTTTGTACAAAACCAGGTGCAGCAATATCTGGACCCAAATCCCAAGTTGTTGGTTTATTTTTTAAGGTGAAATGGATGACAAACAGGATATTCACAAGCCATGTTTGTCAAGCGCCTGGCCGAGGACCGGGATGCCGTGCAGCGGCATGGTGATGATCATCAGGGGAACCCTGTGACACGACTGTACGACTGCACGACTAAGACATCACAGAAAAACACAACCGTTTTGCATGATGCCAATGCTGATACCTTCACTTCGCACAAAAAACGGCAAACCAAAATGGCTAGCCAGCAACGGAAATCCGATTCCCTTCGATCATTTCAAAGCTCCGTTCCATAAAGATCGTTGAATCGTTAATGCTTCAAGGCCTTGCCACATTCACAGCAACGTCTCCCAAGCTCTCCCAGCCGCAGCCACACCGTCCTTCCCAACAGAAACAGGATAGCATGGCCAACGTCGCGATAGCATTGCACCTGAGACGTGGCCCATCATTGTTGGTGAATCCGGCAGCATTTTTACCCCCGAAAAGCGTATCTTTCTGGTGGTTGAAGCCTCTGCACAAATATGGCAGTGGAAGATTCTCCGTTTTCCACAACTTACCGGCAGCATTTTCTGCCAGGTCAGGCTAGGTTGCCAGGTCGAGCATCCTCGTTAGGTCCCCCTCATGGCCTCTGGGAGGGGCTGCCCACGTGCCGCACATTCAACCCGCAACTGATCGATGATGCCCTTCCTGGGGAACAGCGGAGCATTTGGAGACGGTTATATAGATGGTTAGGGTATTTATTGATGTGTATTTTTGGGGCGAATATCGGAATACAGATGGATGATTTAATGATGCTATGTTCTGAGCATAGTCACTTGTCTATCTCTGGGCTCCCAGCCCTTATATAGTAGTAATTATTAGAGTTCATTGAATATCCTGTCTGGTACCTTCCTACTATAAAGAGGGTCCTGTCTGGTTGTTTCCGACCATCATTTAGACGTGTCTCAAAATTAGGCATACGGATGCATATGGCATACCCCAAAAAGATGATTTCAGTAGGGATGATGATCCTATCAATCCTATCGTCATCCCGGCGCCGGCCGGTGGGCGCCAAGATGGCCAAGGTGGCTGAGCTCCCGCACTCCTCCAGGATGGACCTCATAATCCTCACCTGCACCTCACAAGGCTCAGGCTATGGGTAGCTACAAAGACATGGGAATTGCAAACGCCATTTGGGGATGGGTCAAAACCCTGGTACCTAGTGAACCCCAAAATAGCTGGTAAATGGATGTTCATCCCACTAAAATGTATCTATAGGTATTGACTCATACCCATTTCATGGTAGAGAAAAACTTCAAAAACTCTGGTCTAGAGTCTCTAAAGTGTCTAAAGCAAAAAATGGAGGGGAGTTGGTATCATGGGGAATCAGCCTAACCAAGAATTATGGGTGTGTCAGCAATGAGGAAATGCAGGGATTCAATCAACAAAAGTAAATTGGTGTACACGCAACTTGGGCCCCATAACAAATATAGGCCTTCATTGTCTTTTTCAGTATGGAAACCCAATGAATGGAAAGTTCCTCTCTCGATATGGGGATGTGTAACGCACAATTGAACGTATGTCTAGTTGCTCACTGGACAAGCTTTCAAAACTGATCTGGGCACATGCTACTACTTCACAAACCAAAAGTATATATAAACTGGTAACCAGTATCTGTGGCTATCCTTTACTACCACACCACTCAAAATATCACAGAACGTGTGCGCCGAGCCCCCAGCACATCCAAAGAGAATCTCAGCGGAGAAACGCTGAAGGAGTTGGGGGCTGTTGGAAAAAAAAAACGTGAAATGAATCTACCAATCAGCTTACCAAACCATATCAAACTCTCAAACATTTCCAGATTGATTGAATTTGAGATTGCCGGCCATACATTTCCTGGTTGAGTCTCTCCAGGCTGCCTTGAATGGATTTCTGCGGCTATGAATCCGCCCTTTTTTGATACAACGATCCAAACCGCGATCGAAAAATCCAGGCAGTGCAGGGTGCCCCGGCAAGGTCATGCAAGGTCCACACGAATCCACATGTCAACGAGTGGTTTTGCCACAAATCTGGATAATTCTGAGCAGTTCACCATAGTTCACCTGAAAAAAATCAAGGCTAATTACTCAATGGCCTGAACAAAAAACCTGAGCAGTGTGACCAAGACCCAACTGATTCCCAGTAGAACCCCCCTTTCTTGCCACTCAAGGCCACGGCCAACATGAGGATAATGTTCACCACTGCCGTCTCGGCCAGCACGAAGAGCACCGCGGAAATCCAAGCGATCCAATCTGCGGAAAACCCGCAGGGGGCGCCCCCAGGTGCAACGGATCATCCTTTCGGTACTCAAACATTGCAATGGAAAATCCACCATACATACATACTATATATATATATATATTATTGATAATATAGCTAGATAGATAGATATATTGTTTTCCCATTAAAACCTTCATTAACGTGATCTTCCTACATCTTCCCATGGGTTTTTCCAATTAAAACCTCCATTTACCCAACGGGCACTTCCCGCCTGGGCATCCCGCGTTGATCAGAGCGGTCGCTTGCGGATGCAACGCCGCACCAAAGAGCACCACGAGGCAAACGATGGTGCTGCGCCGGGGCCGGAGGCAGCGGCGGGGGGCTCCGGCTGGAAAAATCATCCTATAGCTATTCGTTAAGCAGAAATCCTATGGTGCTTTGGTGCTATCTATGGTTAGTAACCTATGGGATATGGATTTATGTGGATTTATGGGATGATTTTGAAAAACCAGGATTCATGGGATGATTTAACCTGGTTCATCCATAGATATTTTTGGACCCACGAATCGGGGACTTACCAGGCTTATTTTCACCAGTTACGATCCGATAATCTTCCAGGTAGGGGCACTCAGATGTCTTTCCTATGTCAATGGGTCGATTTTAGTTGAGGGGAACACATAAGTTGAAACAACGATTTTGAACTCCAATTTGGTATATATATATATATGATTATATCGTCATGTGAATTTGTGCCTTAAACCAATTCGGCGATTGACAGTGTTAGGTCGATCTTGGAACCCACAGAGTTTGTCAATTTTTGGAAAGCCATCTCTCATTTGATGGCCTATGGCAGAAACCAGCCTGGGAAGAACCACATGGCTTTGAAAACATCCATTTTCGCATTCAAAGCACAAACCAACCTTTCAGCATCTTTCAGCCACCCATGTCATGTGAATCTACCGGCCGTCGATGCGCACCCCCATTCCCTATGTGCATGTGGAAAAGCACTAAGCTTCTTTGGGATTCTTCAGCCCTTCTACCAAAAGCAATTCCCAGATAGGTCCGAAGTATTTTTGGCCTTTTCACAACTCTAAGCCAATGCACTAAACCTCACAGCGAAGCCACTCTTTCAAGAGTTGTCAACAAAAAAACAAATTGGAAGTTAGAACATATACTTATTTTTTTAAAGAAAACATGGAATGTTAGGACATAAACATAGAATATATAATATGTCACTGGGGAGAAAAACACCGCAGGACACCCAGAAGGCTCAGGCCGACCTGATCGTGGTGACTATGATGGGACAAACAACTTCCTTCCAAAGCCTCCAGGGCATGGTGGATTCGGGGCAGAACATGATGAAAGCATATTACCCTCTGGTAAACGTTTACATAACTATGGAAAATCACCATGTTTAATGGGAAAATCCACTATAAGTGGCCATTTTCAATGGCCATTTTTTAATAGCTATGTTAAATTACCAGAGGGTACATCCATCATAGCATATAATCGACCCCCCCAAATGATACGTGTTTGTTTTAATATTACAACTATTTTGGTAGCATTTTGCCAAGTCTTATCTTTTTTGGGGTTGCTATAGACCATGATTCCATTGACATTATCTTATGTTCATCCAGCAATCCAATATTATATATTGCCATAAATTGGCACGTGTAAATCCATTTATGGCACGACAACCCCACTTTGATTTACCCCGAAAAATGGTTGGACCATGTTGGATTTGGTTTCAATATGGTTATAACATGGTTATAATATGGTTCTAGCATGGTTCCGGCATGTTGTAATGCTATAAACCATTATAAAAACCACTGCTTCGATATCTCTTCGTCGACTCCAAATCCCCATCTTGACCCTTGGCGTCGCCGCCTGGGTCTGGAGAGAAACATGCCGAGGCCCACGAGCCTCCGATTTGGGGATACCCCCCATGACTGAGGACACCCCCACCTAGCGACATACATCTACGGTAGCACATGGCCATTATGACATAGAGCTAGTAGGTTTTAATTTGCCCATTAAAATTGTGTTTTTTACAATAGCTATGTTAGTTTACCAGAGGGTACCTGGGGGAACAACTTAAGATTATCCAATTATTGTCACTTGTTGGTGGGTCAAAATATGGCAACATGTCCACAATGTAAATATTGGGGGTACTGGAAGAAAGACAACTTGCTATGGTAGAGGTGGCCCAGTTCCTTCGATGATTTACCTCATAAAATGTTCCCGGCGTCCATAGGGAACTCTTAATTTACCAAAGGTAAATAATATTGTATAGATAAACATATTCATATACATATATTATATATGTTTTATTATTTCTTTTTGGCGAATTAATTCAAATTTTAGGGGAAACTATATATATAATAATCTATACATGTTTGCAGGTAAAACAATTTCGAGCCACACCCAGAGGCTGGGTCTCCGGCAACCCATCCTTACTGGGTTGCAACCGTGGTCAGCGATGGTGGTGCTTTCACCTTCCTGTTTTGCTGAATGGCTATGGCCACTATGGCTCACATGGAGTACCAATGGACCCACAGATTTGATCATGTTTGGCCAATTTTGAGCCATCCCCAAATACTAAAACTCCCGGTAGCCCTCAAACAGGCCCAGCGGCGGCCAAAACGGTGCTCCAGCATGTGCCATTGCGGTGTCGTTTTCTGCAGTGGCTTTTGGCAGTCGACTCAAAGGTCGTGTTGCTGTGCTGTTGCTGTGCCGGTGCTGCTTGATTTACGGCCCATATCTCTCCATCTATAACATGCTCCTGCACTGCGATGAGGAGAGTTTGAGCCCAAACATGGCCCACAGACAGGCTCGTGCAAACTTGGCATCTATACACATGTCTGGTTGGCAACACCAAATTTGTCTGAAACTGGGGGGTATCCCCACAATTTGATGGTTGATAATCAAGTTCCCAATGAAATTATTGCTATTTGGAGGGGTAATCTCCCCATTTTTGACTGACCCACAGATTCCCGCCTTGTCGTTCATGAATTTGACATAAAGCTTTCCAGTGTCTAAGGGCATGGCTGAAATCTGGTACCTCCAGGCTGGATACCAAAGAAGGGAAAACCTGACCTTTTCACCATTGACAATGCAGCTTTTTGGAGATGCTTGAGTGAAGAACAGGAAGATTTTTCGATTGGGCTCAGACTTAGATATCTTAGATCGGATTTGCCCAAGATCAAGAAACCTATCCCCACTGTGGAGTTCTGTTGCAGAGTCACTCCAACTCCTGCACTCCTCCCAGGGATCCGCTCAAAAATTCGTCGGAAAGGGTGATGCATCTGATGCATCTGATCAGGAAAAACATCCCAAGAAGTGAAGAAACAAACAGCTTGGGCAGCTTGGGATGCTCACATACCCAGGTATTAGAGGGTGTTTTTCGTTCAACCCCCTGCCCTTTTCACAGGCCAAGGTCGGTCGGACTGTCAATGGGGGATCTATCATTATATCCGGCAAATACCTCATAAAGTTGCCAAGTTGCGAAGGAAAAATGATCCAATGATCACTGTAACCATCCAACTTTGGGTTTTTCGCCCATTTCCCATCGAATTTTCCATCTTATTTTCAGGTACCAAACCCTCAGATGCTCAGCTGGGCTCACTCTGTCTGCTTGCCCAAGTAATGGATCTGTCCCTTCACCTGGCAAAATCCCACTGTAGCTGTAGCAGTTCTGCTAACTTTTGTGATCAAGATCGTTCCTGTTCATCTGAAAAAACATCTTCAACTTGCCATTCCTGCTGATAATCTGAGTTTATATATGATATATGATATATATATATGTATATATATATGTGTATATATATAATACATATTTATATGACAGCATTAAGTGATGAAGATCATGTCCCCAACGTTCATCCTCCTGCGGATCCGCTGCCTGGTGGCAGTCCTTGGAAGGCCTGGAAGAAAATGAAGGGAAACCACGTGGGCGAACATATGAAAAATGCATCGTCATACCATTCATGCAATAAGAATAGGGGAAAAACAACTGATAGTATATCACAGTATATCATAAGTACTCATAGTAAGAAGAACACTAACATAAGAATCATAAACAAAAGACTACTCGTATATACGTAACAGGAAAAACATAAACTCATTGTATATGGGATCCCAAAATGAACAGAAATCCGCTGCTAAGGGTTTTTGGCGAAAGGCAGGGGGTGGTTGTAACTTTGAAACCGCCAACAGCAGCAGTGCCCAAACCGAACTGCTTGGTGGAGGAAAAGGGTTCCCATGTCGGATTCTTTCATACAAATTGAACCAGGTACTGTAGTAGCGCTCCACCTTATTTTGTATTAATGACACAACTATCATTTACAGGTCATACACGCATGTCCTGAAGTTTTCTACATCATTACTTCCTGATTGAAGGTTAAAACATGTTAAAACCCTATAATGTGGTAAACCCAAAATCATGAACCATCCCCAGTATTCCCGTGAGTATAAAAATAATCTCCAAATGGTGAGTGTACTAGTTGGTTTACCACATCACACCCATTACTTACCCATGTTGTAGGTGATTTGTCCCATTTTTATGTTTAAATCATCCTCTATATAATGTGGCTAAAACAATAATAAACCACCCCCAAGTTCATCATAAATAGGTGGTATAAAACATTCCCAAATGGGTGACCCACATTATATCCTATCAAGGTTGGATTTCAAAACGGTATGTCTTAACCCATAGCCACACCATTCGACGCGACGGCGCGCCATGGCGCGCCTATCTGAGACGTGCAGCAAGACCGTCACCCCGTCGATGCCCAGGGCGTTCTGCGGCAATGTGCCCACGGCAAGCATGGAAATGTTCGACTGATGTTTTTTGGGGGCATAAATATGGATGTATAATGGATATATGTACAATGGATATTAATAATGGATGTAAAATGGTGAACGAAACACAATATGGATGTATCATGGTGATATTCTGTGGATATAGATATGTACATACATATACAAGCACAGATGTAAGTGATGGGGATATAAAGCCAAGATGTACCTGGATATTGCCAGAAATGGCAAAGATTAGTATATCCCTTGCTACAGTCAGTTATGTTTCGATTCTAACCTACCTACTAAGCACTTAGCTACTTCTGACATATCTACCAACCATCTTATAGGGCTATTGTATGGTGGGCTTATGGGATATGATGGAGATATAGTGGATATAATGGGCATATTTTATGTAGTGGGTGACATATTAGGGATAAGAAAACTGGATATAATACGGAAAAAAAGGCAGGGATATAAGTCACCAACTTTCAATGATACTTGGGGGTTGTCTGAGGGGACTACCCCCCAATGTATGGCAGCTTCAAGGGGAAGTTTTGGGATGATTGACTAGTGGATTTTACAGAGGGTACCTCATTTTCAGACAAAGCCATATGCAACTATCAACAGTAACGTCAAAAAGATACGGTACTTGTAAGATCTTACCAAAGCAATTTCAAAAAAAACAGGTAAATTACACCTTGTATCTCTTTCTGGGTTGCTATACTGCTATATCTGATGCAAAGGTATCAAAGCCCATAGCAAAGCTCCATGTTCGCATGAAAATTGCTGGTTGCCATGGATCTTTAATCACCCATATGGCATCCATTGATATCCATTGTGGGTTGAATCATAGAATTCTGACCCATCTTCATAATCCTTTCTCTTCGCAGCATGGGTGCAAAACACTATCTTCGGATCCGCGCATTTATACTTTACATATGATATGTATATATATATATACATGTATATATATATATATGTGCATATACATACATTTCATACATACATATATGTTTGTATATAGTTATACATAGAGAGCGAGAGATAGACTCATGCCCTGCAATCACATGCTCACTTCAACTTCGGGATTGTTCGCCACCGCAACATCACCAACATCTCCGGACCTGTACGTGCCATGAGCCCACCTGGCAGCATCCAGAAAGGCGTTTCAGGGTATGGCGGTATGGTGTTATACTTTAGCATCGGACTATGGTGGCTGACCGGGTCAGGTCAATGTCCACACAAATTCGAGGGGTGAGGTTTTTTCCCGGCCAAAAGGTGCTCTCAACCCATTGGATTCCAAGATCCTCAGAGGCTTCGGCTGAGCCCGGCACCAGGTGATCAAGCAAACACAACTTCTGTGACGTTGCGTTGGCGACCTCAGCTCTGGACCGTGTGCAGCTTTCGATTGCAAATTGGTCAAACATGTTGATACAACCCACATTTCCAAGAGTAAAATTGTCTGGTTTGCAGATTAAGTCTGCCATTCTTCTGGAACTTCTGGGTTTAAAGCTCTTAAAATGCTGTAAAACATCATGATTCAAACCAAACATCCTCCACCCCACCAACCCCCGAAAAAAAAAAAAAACATTACTGCTGTACGGTCACTCCCTCACTGGCCAATCGGATGTCCATTGGCATCCTCTGCAAAAGTTCGACCTGCCAAACGTCACCGGTGACCGGTGGTTTTGTGGGTCACCTAGGTGGGTCACCTAGGTGGGTCACCTAGGTGGGTCACCTAGGTGGGTCACCTAGGTACCTCCCACTTTTGGGAGAACCCTTAAGACACCAAGGTCACAACATGACATGGTTTTTGAAAAGCTGCTCCTGAGCGGAGCCTTTGCCTACAAATTTGCAAACACCCATGTTTTTGAAGATGGGCCAAATTGGGTACTCCTGAGACATTGGAGCATGAAAAACTATGTAAAACTAGCAAACAACAAGTGAAAATTGATAGGCACCCTGCAAAAGTTGCAGAAGTTGTGACAGCAAAAGCGGCCGAAATCCTGCAACCTTCACGGGTCAGTTGATAAGCAAGTGCCCAAACTACTTTCCCAAGCTTGGTTGGACCCCCAATTGGTTTCGGTAAGATGAAACCCCAATTATTAATTTGATTGGGCTTGGAAGATGATATCTTCCAACATAGGATATGGGTGCAATGGATAGATAGATAGAATAGAATAGAATAGAATAGAATAGAATAGAATTAGAATAGAATTAGAATAGAATTAGAATAGAATTAGAATAGAATTAGAATAGAATTAGAATAGAATTAGAATAGAATTAGAATAGAATTAGAATAGAATAGAATAGAATAGAATGGGAATTAGAATTAGAATTAGAATTAGAATAGAATTAGAATTAGAATAGAATAGAATTAGAATAGAATAGAATAGAAATAGAATAGAATAGGATTAGATTAGATTAGATTAGATCAGATAGATTAATAGATTAACTAGATTAACTAGATAGATAGATTAATTAGATAGATAGATAGATAGATAGATGGATGGATAGATAGATAGACAGACAGATAGATAGATAGATAGATAGGTGGATGGATAGATAGATAGAAAGATAGATAGGATAAGATAGGATAAGATAGGATAAGATAGGATAAGATAGGATAAGATAGGATAAGATAGGATAAGATAGGATAAGATAGGATAAGATAGGATAAGATAGGATAAGATAGGAGAAGATAGGAGAAGATAGGAGAAGATAGGAGAAGATAGGAGAAGATAGGAGAAGATAGGAGAAGATAGGAGAAGATAGGAGAAGATAGGAGAAGATAGGAGAAGATAGGATAAGATAAGATGAGATAAGATAAGATAACTTAGTTAGATAGATTAGATTAGATTAGGATTAGGATTAGGACCAGGATTAGGATTAGGATTAAGAT